TTTCGAGCGTTAGCCCTTTGTCGGAGCTACGAAGGGCTAACACCAGATGGGGGTAACGAAATAATTTGAATATATCAACAAAGTCGAAATGGTAAATTGGCCACCGTTATGATTATAAAAGCTGACGTTTCGAGCGTTAGCCCTTCGTAGCTCCAACGATTTTTTTACACCGAGGATGAGCCTAATTTTTCCTTTTTGTCACTTTCCAACTTCTTTGTGTTGGGTTTTCATATCTATTCAATTCTGTTGGTTTATTTCAGATTGACAGTGAGGGAAATAGGATGAGGTATGGATTAGTAATTTCAATTGATTCATTTGATTTTCAGTTTTTATGTAAAATTTCAATTAAGTTAAATAGCAATGGATATTTACTGAGTTGTGAACTGGCGAGATAAATATCCACCACTTTTTGCGAAACTGAGGTTAATTGTTGTTACAGAAATAAAAAACATTAGTTATTTCTGTCAATATACCAAAAAATTGTTGGAAATTAAGTTGTTGATTTTGTCTCTTTTGCTGTTCAGAGGTGAATAGTACTTGCTAATCACTTCTAAACCAGCCAATCAGCACACATGAAAAGTGCAATTTACTTTTATGGTATATACTAAATGTAGGTCATGTTGCTATTACAAGATTTTGTCAGCAAAGTGTAGGTTTTTTTATCTTTCCTTTTCTTCCTTGGACCCCCAATCCTTTGATAGTGATTAGCATCTAGTTTCTCCTCTCAATATCACCCCTCAATCACAGATGAAGGTTGTGAGAATAAAGGAAATGATCACCAACTAATATCAGCTCTTGATTGTTAAACAAGTTCTCTTTGGCAACACCTCAGTAAATGTGTAGAGAACAGTTTGGAGAATATGCATACTGATGTTGGGGTAGAGAGGGTGAAGAACTTCTTTTTTGGTTTACAGTGCAATCATTACTGAGGATTTTTACGAAGATGTGGACCAATATCAAAAAGAAGGACAGCTCATAGAAGAAGGTATGTCCACCTTGAATTATTTTTGCATGTATTAAAATATTTTTGGGAGCACCTTCTGAATTTAGTGGTCTTCTAACCCCTCTTTACCATGTAGGGGTTTCAAGGAGACCTCTTACTGCTGTCTGTGTGGTCTGTGAAGAAGCTCTTATGTTTGGGTTTTTTCCTATTATATATAGGTAATAACATGATTTCTTGTTCAATTTGGTGTAGATAAGCACTAGAAAATTCTTCAAAGACCACACCATAGAGTGAGTGTAATTTGTGGTGTGAAAATTTACAATTGCTTCTTTACACCAAGTTAAAAAAGAAATAATTTATATGAAAAAAAGCATCACAGAAAGTCAAAACAGAGATAATTTTGCTGAGCATGCTTACTATTTGTAATTTGCACTTGTGTTAGGTGATAAATACACTTGTTTTTAGCCAATAAAAAGTGTATGTGCATTTTTTCACGTACATTGTTAACCATACAACAAGTTATTGAAACCCATGGGTGTGTAGTCTTCATCTGCTCCAACCAGTCTGCATAACAAGGCAAGAGAGGAGAGACTGGTTAGGGACAAAAAGAATGACCACAAAAAACGAAAAAAATCTTTTTTTTTTTTTTTTTTAAGTGCAGAAGTCTCATTTTCTTCCATCTTTGCTATCATTTCAGAAGATGACCAAGAAGTGTATGATGATATAGGAGGGCAAGGTATGAATTAGCGAAGGCTATTTTGTAATTACATCTATCACTGATTTTTCAAATAAGCATCAATCCATTTACTTGCTTTTTTTTTTTTTTTACAGTATTCATTTATTTAGTTTTTTTTGTATACAGAACCGATTGATGAAGATTTGTATGAAGAACTTCCAGCAGATCAGCCATAAATTATAACTAGGATATAATTATAACATTCATTTGTTAAGTTAGCCATTTATCCCTTGCATGAATCTAAAGATAACCATCATGTGTACACATTTATTTTAATATTTTCAATTTAAGGACGTCTTTGATTATCAAATGTGATTTCTGTATCTATTTTATTAAACTATGTATTTACACAAAAATTACTCCTACAGTGAATGGGGTTTTAAAGGAGTGAGATTTGCAGACTTTGTGGTCTTGCTTCTCTGATGATTTGTATGGTCACGCTTTACGTTTTCTTTTGGAAAGAAAACGTTCTGTGACAAAGCAAAAATTACACATTTTAATAGCTCAAGCATAGGAAAACTTTTGATACACATACGATAGTATCAATTACAATTTATTTTGGTTGAGGGGAAATATAAATGAAACGATTAAGAATAGACAAAATTGATTTCGTCCCGTGTATTTTGTAGGGATGTTGCCTTAATGATATATTTTCAAAGCTTTGTATTTTTATGAGTCTATAGTTCTAAAATTGTATGACAGGTAATTAGACCTGTTCTATTCAATAAAACCACATGAAATTGAACATCTATTTGACCATGTTTATTTCCAGTATACTTTCTTAGCTTTTGTAATCATGTGACGTTCAGCCTTTCAGTTGATTAGACTTTAATAACATTTGGTGGCTCCTAAAGGAGCCGTTGATTTCGGCGGGAAACCCACAAAGTGAGTTTACTTGCTGCTGGTGTACTTGGTCACAGCTTTGGTTCCTTCACTGACGGCGTGTTTAGCCAGTTCACCGGGCAGAAGTAGCCTGATGGCGGTCTGGATCTCGCGAGAGCTTATTGTCGATTTCTTGTTGTATTGTGCAAGGCGAGAAGCTTCAGTAGCAATGCGCTCGAATATGTCGTTGACGAACGAATTCATAATGCCCATGGCTTTGCTGGAGATACCAGTGTCAGGGTGAACTTGCTTTAACACCTTGTAGATGTAGATGGCATAGCTTTCCCTTCTCCTTCCTTTCCTCTTTTTCTTTCCACCTTCGGCAATTGCCTTCGCCTTACCGGCTTTCTTCTCGCCCTTTTTCCCTGCCACCTTAGGTGCCATGACTATTGATTTGAGCTAAGTAATACTACTAAATATTATTCATCCTGTATTTATACTAAAATGACTGAAGGATCGATTAACGAACGGATCGAAATCTGCACTTTCTGATTGGTTACACTGAAAATGTCGCTACAGGTCACCGAAACTCTGGCATGTAATGTTCTAATAATACAATAGTCCATTGAATTCCACATGTAAACAAATATCTGATTGGTGCTTTTCGATCCTTAGACCTGCCGAGCGAAGTACAAATGTTTCGATTTGCTCTTTATTCCTTGGTTTTACCGAGTGAAGTTCGTGAGCTATAGTGCGATATTACTATGTCTGGTCGAGGTAAAGGTAAAGCTAAGGGCACCAAGTCTAAGAGCCGCTCATCTCGAGCAGGGCTTCAATTCCCTGTCGGTCGAATCCACCGTCTGCTCCGCAAAGGCAATTATGCTGAACGTGTTGGCGCCGGTGCTCCAGTATACTTGGCCGCTGTGCTTGAATATTTGAGCGCTGAGATCCTCGAGTTAGCGGGTAACGCTGCTCGTGATAACAAGAAGACAAGAATCATTCCTCGTCATCTTCAGCTTGCTGTCCGTAATGACGAGGAGCTAAACAAACTGCTCGCCGGTGTCACCATCGCACAGGGAGGAGTTCTTCCTAACATTCAGGCTGTACTTCTGCCCAAGAAGACTGAAAAGAAACCCAAGGCTTAATTCAAATTTCACCAGTTACAACAAACGGCTCCTTTAGGAGCCAGCAGATGTTTATAAAGTCATAATCAACTTTGCGCACTAGGTTTACAACCTTACCTTAACATGTAAAACCAGCGAGTGGGATAACAATATAAATTTTGGCTTTGGCAATGTTTTTGTCTGTTTTGTAAAGATTGAGTTATTTTTGCCCATATTGTAGTGGACATTTGCTATGCTTCCTTCTAATTCCGTTTGAAAACCCAGCATAGAATGTGGGTCGGACGTTATTAACCTGTACGTTCGACAAAATATCTCAGAATTGGTGATTGGCGTTGTCTGTTGGAATATATGAAACTTGTGAAAGGAGTCCGTCACTGCTTACCATGCCGTACCGAGAGAGAGCGCTAGCGCCTTTACTGCCTTATTCTACCGTAAGGTAACATTTGTGGGAGGTCCGCTCTTTACATTTATTTTTTCGCGTAAGCATCAGAGTGCTACACAACGCGCCTGCTTAAAGGTCTCGTCGCTCAGGTGATCGTCTGGAGGGTGGTTGTGTTGACCTATTGCCACAATCTTCGTCCTACTACTCGTATAAAGCGGTTCTCGTAGATTAGGTTATGTTCCACTCTGTACGTAGCTCTTAGTATTGCATTTCTTATATATAGTTCAAAAGTTTATAATTAACCAACGTGCGTGCGAGCGGTGAACGTGGTATTTTAGTCTGTAAATGATCACCTACATTTTCAATGTGCTCTTTGCGGCGCGTACGATGGCAATATAATTACACTGTACCCAATCGTATCAAACAACCTTTAATGGTCACGACTTTTGAAAGATTTGGTGGCTCCTTTAAGGAGCCGGTAGTTCTGTGATGATAGATCAAGTTTGTCTAACCGCCAAATCCGTATAGAGTACGGCCTTGTCTCTTCAAAGCGTACACCACATCCATGGCCGTCACAGTCTTTCTCTTGGCGTGTTCGGTGTATGTAACAGCATCACGGATAACGTTCTCAAGGAAAACTTTAAGAACACCACGAGTCTCTTCGTAAATCAGACCAGAGATTCGCTTGACACCGCCACGTCGAGCAAGACGACGGATGGCCGGTTTGGTGATACCTTGGATGTTATCACGAAGGATCTTTCAGTGGCGCTTAGCACCTCCTTTACCGAGACCTTTACCTCCTTTACCACGGCCGGACATGGTAATCACTTCTAACACCGTCGACAGCCTAATTTGGCGCAGTCGGTTTTATAACCAAGTGAACGACCTCTCAGGAAACGTTGAGACAGCCAATCGTGAAATCCGAACTAAACGAAACGAAACGTAATCAATATTTCATTGTCTTTTTGTCATGTGTTTGTCTATTGTAAGGAAAATGAAAAGCGTCTCGCTCCGGTCAGAATCGTGATGTACAAATCGCGCACAAATGAGGAAAATGATAAAAATCCTAATGGTACTGCACGATTAATAAGAAATGGTTCTTTTTGTATTATTAGGTCCAAGATTAGAACGTGTTTGAGGCCATAACTTAGTCTCAGTTTATTCGATCGAATTATCTATATCTGCTCCAATCAAATTGCGTCTTTTTCCACCAATCAGTTGAAGCCCGCCAATTTGCAAATATAATCATCGAGAGAGTCAAGAATGACTCGGACAGATCGTTCTGTTTTCTGACTTTTCTGATATTTGAGAATGGCGCGTACAAATTAAAGCAAACTGCTGGTGGAAAAGCCCCACGCAAACCAGCTCGCGACAAAAGCAGCTCGTAAGAGCACTCCTGCTACCGGTGCAGTCAAGAAACCTCAACGTTACAGGCCTGGTACAGTCACTCTTCGAGAGATTCGTTGTTGCCAAAAATCGACAGAGCTGTTGATCTGCAAGCTACCCTTCCAGCGGTTTGTGCGAGAAATCGCTCAAGATTTTAAGACAGATTTGCGTTTCCAGAGGCTTGGCTGTGAAGGCTCTTCAAGAAGCTAGCGAGGCTTATCTTGTAGGCCTTTTTGAAGACACAAAACTTATGCGCCATCCCCGCCAAGAGTCACCATCATGCCCAAGGACATTATGTTCAACTGGCCCGCCGAATTCGTGGAGAGCGAGAACAAGTGGAATTTATCCCTCACAAAACTAACAGCTCCTTTAGGAGCTGATATCCCCGAGCTGTGTGGCCTGTCTCGTAAATCGCTGGCGAAGTTTGGTAGGTTAATACTTGAACTAAGCGTTCTCAGTGAAGCTGAAATCAACTTCCGTAGAGACAATTTGTGGGAGAACATACATACACAGTGGTGGCGAAGCCTCCTGTTATCTTAAAGCAAGTTTTTTCTTGCACTTTCTTTGGACACCCTTTAGTTGGTGACTCGTGATAGGCTGATATTTTGTTTCCTTGCGGGAGGGGAGCATGCGCTCTAGCCACTTCCGAATTAGAACTATCCCAGTATTATTTCGTTAAAGGAGAAGTACCTCCGAAAACCATCCTTGCCTTCTAAAAGCAATCAGCATTACTTACCACTTGCCAGGCTATCAGACCTAAAAGTTAAAGTAACTTGGTCTTTGATGCACTAAATATCCATCCACGAGCGCTGCCATTTCAAAGGAAATCAGTAACCTGGCTGCAATGCACAGCCCTTTCCAAAACTGGTTAAAAAACAGCTGCTGCTCAGGGTTTTGCGTGGGTTTACTAATAAGGTAATTTGGTAATATCAACTAAGTTGAAATTATAAATTGGCCACCGTAAACAGTTAAAAAGCTGACGTTTCGAGGGTTAGCCTTTCGTTAGGGCTCGGACGTCTGACGAAGGGCTAACGCTCGAAACGTCAGCTTTTTAACTCTTTACAGTGGCCAATTTATGATTTAAACTTAGTTGATATTCCCAAATTACCTTGTTACCCCCACCGACGCAGCACCACAGTTTCTTTAGAAACTTACCCCCTTTATCCATTTTTACTAATAACACTGAAACATAGAAGGAACAACACCATTCTCTACACGATTAAATATGCCATCTCAAATTAGGGACGTAGAGGTACCTTGAGTCATACCGCCTTGACATTCTCGTACCCAAAGTCCTTGTTTCAATCTTTGTAGTTGATCAAAAGATTATAAACTGTTTATAGTCTCTTAGGTTGATGTGTTGAGGAGGGTATCCCTTTCAAGTTTCCCGAAAGTCATCTCGCCCGAAGCCAGAGTTTGTCGCCCGAAACTAGAGTCATGTCACCCGAAGAAACAACTTCCTGTAAGTCAGACTTTCGAGATGACTATCGGGTGTCTTGCCTCTAAATCATTAAAGAAATGAGGCGGCAAATTCAAGGGCCTCTTTCCAAGCGGCAACGTTTTTAGGTAACTGAAGATGGGCCAACGCTACAGGCAGAAGGTCAGAAAATAATATACTACTATCTATATTACAACATATCATACTCATAGCTGAGAATTCAACCAAGCCGAGATTCCAAAGCTCTTGGCCATGGCCTTGTCATGAGAAGTTACTTTAGATTTAATTTAGCGCTTTTTTCGTTACACAGAACTAACCCACCGCCTGAACAAAAGCGCAAGCAATCGCCGCACTTGAAATACCGCCAACTGCAACGAAGTACGCCAGGTGAATTTCAAACGTGTCGCGAAATGATTGTCTAGGGTAATTTCTAATTGCTGCTGAATTGATTTTACAGTAAAATTTTTATAGTCTCTCGGAGAGTTTTGCGGATCGTTTTAGAATATCAGTGCGTTCTGCACAGGGCAGTCTTGCGTTCAAGATTAAAATATCACGCCTTGATGTTGTTTCTGTTGGCAACTTACGCAGAACAGTTTGTTAAAATTGTCAGTCTGCATGCGAAATTCCAATTCAAGATAGCGGCCCAGCGGAGATGAAGTCGTCTGTCCGAGCACACCCTGGGACGAAAATTTACTGGTGTGCGCCATTTTGAATTCGTCAGGATTCGCCAACACTTACAGTAAGCCAAGAGAAACGGTAAAATTCATTTTCTTGTTTATTTTACCGGTCAGAAGTCTTCTGGAAAGGTATGACTAATGTTCTAACTTATCACTTAAGGCACCGAAAAAGAAAAGTTTTCTCGTAAAAGGGTTGCTCCACAGTTTCACAACATCATCAAATACTTATATTAGACAGAAAGCTTGTTTTTCTATCCGTAGAAATTGATCAGTTATATTGTCATAGCAATGTTCAGATTACCATAGAAACATCCACGAAGAAGGTTAAAAGGATTCTGCTTAATTTACGTTTTACTTTACGTCTTCGTTAAGTTAATTAACTCTTCGAATCGGAATTATTTTTAGGTGTTAACGTTAACTTGGTAGTTAAGATAATACCTGTACATTTTTACAATTTTTTTTAAAAATACATCAAATATTGATTTAAAAATCGCCATTTCGGCAGTGAAGATAAACCCAAATCTTAAACAAATTCGTCTCTCGTTTGTGACGGCCGGAAATTTTTGCAGATACCTTTTTGTGGAAGCTTACATACCACTTCCCCTCTTGATAAGTTACCAACAGAACTGTTTTTGTAAGGTTGCATGAATGCAAGGTGTAGCAAGTTTGGTTTTGATGCCTCACAAAACTACTGATTCAAGAAGCTCTGTGAGTTCAGCTTCTACAGAAGTTGGCACAAGAGAAAAGAGTCCTGTGGCACTTTCTAGCCCTTCAGAAACAAAGGCAAAAGAAGGTATCTTTGAATAAATGTATGGAATGGACTTTCACTCTGGTAATCATTTTTCACGGTGCATCGCATAGGATAAATAAGGAAAATGATGAATATACATTTTTCATTTATTTTAACCTTTAGATGTATTTTGCAATTTTCCTTTCTCCTCAACACTTTCATACCTGCCAACTCTCCCAGTTTTTGCGAGATTCTCCAAGTTTTTCATCAAATCTCCTGGTCTCTCTGTTAGAGCACCAAATCTCCTGGGAAATACCTATCGTGGCTTTTTTCATTTTTTTTTTTCAATAAGTTAGTTGTTTTTGAAATGTCAAAAAGGATTTAGTCCTCTTATTTAGGCTGTTCTCAATTGGAAAAATAAAACAGAGCAATCAAATTGATATACATTTAACAAGTATCATAATTGGTCAGAAATCAACCAATCAAATTGCATGATACATGATGGAAATTTGACATGGTTCAGGTTGTCGCGCATGGTTTCAAATTGAGACGTCTCCAATTTTTTGTACTCTGGGGGTTGGCGGGTATGCATTTATTTCCTTGTAACCCTCTACACCCAAACATCAGTACCCATATTCTCTATGATCTTCCCCATACATTTCCTTTGATACTGATAAAGAGGATTCATTTAAAAATCAAAACTTCTTAGGTTGGCGATTGTCTTCTTTGTACTCATGATCTTAGTGAATGATATGGCAGTGTTCATGTTAGGAGAAACTCAATGCTGGTCACTCTTGGGGTTTTAGGGGTTCATCAGTTATGAGTATCTGACATTGTATCAAATTAATATTAACAATGTAGCTATCTAGTTTGTAAAGAGAAAAATTGTATTCCCTGGTTTAGACTCAAGCCAAGCAAAAGAGCACTATCAAAATCAGCATTCACGCAATATTTACAAAGCCTTAATTGAAGCATCATGCTGTAGATGCTAATCTTTGATTAACTGCTTATTCAAGGTATTTCTGAAATATCACTTGTAAATATTTTGTCATGTACTTCAGTCCCTATCGAAATCTTTTTAGATAAACAAACTCACACCTGCCCACAACATCAAGGCATTAATTCTGCAGATGATGGAAAGAGCAGCTGCTCTAGGCCTCCAGCTACCAACATCAGAGATCTGTTTCTATCATTTGACAAAGGTGTGTGCCTTGTTCCCCAGTTATTAGCATAGCAGAATTATAATGGTACCCTTGATCTGATGAAGTGTTGATGAACTTGCAAAATGGATGTGAAATGATAATAAAGGGGTTTGTTTTGTCAGCTTCCTGTTCTGACTGTGTCTGCAGAAGTAAAAACGTTGACAATTCAGTTTCTGTTTCTGTTTTTGCAATGTCAGGATATAATTTAGATCAAGCATTTAAGCTAGATAATCTATTTGAATCTCCAGTTCCAATAGTACTCAGCAGCAGTCATGCATCAGCAGCACAAAAATCCACATGCCTGGTCCAAGATGGAGACCGCTACATTTTTTTAGTGGAAGACAACAGGAGTTCTAAAGCCAGCTCACTCTGTCAGGGATCTGGTGCCAGGAATGCAAAGCCTTCCGATGAAGTGTCAGAGAATCCAGAGCAGAATGAAGAAGGAGAAGATACTGGTGAGTTGGAGTGGTTTGTGTTTGGGTTTTTTTTTTCTGATGCCCTTTTCACTCTCAAGAACAACCAAAGAGGACTATCCCCCCACAATAACAGTACATTTCCAAGCAAAAGATTCATGATAGGAACAGAATATAGCAACTAGTGGACATTGTTTGATTTAAGATCAAAGCTGAAATGATAAGAACATATATGAAACAGTGCAGAAAACATAATTTTTAGATCTTGAGAGTTAAAGGGTTTCCAAAGTTTTATACGAGTAAGCTCCATCCTAAGGTTCAAACTCTTGCCTTTTAACCCTTTGACCCCTAACAGTGACTAGCATCTAATTTCTCGTTACAATGTCACCCCTGAATAACACATTAAGGTGAGGAGAATAAAGGAAATGATCAGCAAATAAAGAATGAAACTCCTGATTTTGAAACAAACTCAACTCATTAGCACCTTAGGGAATGTATAGAGATAAGTATAGAGAATATGCATACTAATTTAGGGGAAAGAATACCTCTTTTATTTACCTGTTTGGTTTCTGCACTGTATTCTCTCAAAAACCTAAGGCATGTTGTAGCTAGAGAAGTGGGTTGTTAAAAGGTGTTGTGGTTAGTTATTGACTTAGTGACTGAAATTAAACATTCCTTGAATAACTTCAAAGTGCATTCTTTAGAATTTTCAGATGGAGAATCTGAGGCATCACTTGAAGACGTGCGTCAACATCATGGAATAATCAAGACCCAGAAACAAGATGACCCAGATTATTTAACACTGTTTGAAGCTCATCAGAGGAGGTTAGAGGATGTTGGCTCACAGGCACCAGGTCAGGGGTAGTTACAGTAGTATTGTAACATATTGCTATGTGGGGTGGGGTAAGGTGAGGAATGGCTTACAAGCATCAGGTCAAGGATAGTAACAGCGATATTGTAACATATTGCTGTGTGGGGTGGGGTAAGGTGAGGAATGGCTTACAAGCACCAGGCCAAGGATAGTAACAGTGATATTGTAACATATTGCTGTGTGGGGTGGGGTAAGGTGAGGAATGGCTTACGAGCATCAGGTCAAGGATAGTAACAGTAGTATTGTAACATATTGCTGTGTGGGGTAGGGTAAGGTGAGGAAAAATATTGGTGACCCTCTTACTCGTAACATCTCCCTTGTGGCAGCTATGGGTTGACTTGCAAGGTAACTAAGAGAATTAGGTTTTTCAACAGGATAACACCCCACCCGTCTCTTTTTTTTTTATTATTATCATTACTTATTTTCTGGATTTGAAACTTGGATTGAATTTGTGAGAGGAAGTTGAAGTTTAGTTATTACTTGTGGGAGTTAAACGGTGAAATGAGGAAAGTGGTGACTGAGGGAATATCCCAACCCACGCTTCTCCACCCACGTACCAAGATTTTTAAGAACATTTTCCCCCACTAAGATTTTCATAAAATTGCTTCCTCCCTTTTTGCCAAAGTTTTTCGCATTATTTCTCCCTTGTTCTCAATTTGTTAGTCTCTTCTTTCTCTCTGCTCTGGTCCTCTTCCAAACGATAAATTTCTCCCCCAGGAGAACAGTGTTCCGGAAACGTCTTTCAATGGCCAAAAGATTGCAACTTGGGCCGCTCACCTTATATACAATACCAATAATTATTTATTATTTGATTTAACTTGACATTACTTTAAATGCGGAATTGGTCTCCTCTAGGGTCGGAGATTGTGTTTTGACACTTTTAATTGCAAATTTTACCTTGAAAAATCCCGCGGATGTTACAGCGCTTAGTTCCGGTTGTCGCCATGACTTTTGCTAAACCGTTGTATAGTTTACTGCATTAGTTACTGCATTTAAAAATTGCAGTTTGGACCAAACTCTCTGTTGAAGTGTACATCTTTTTTCTTAAAGAGCACGTAATATTGAATCAACCCAATGGTCGAATATCAGTTTTGACACTTCTGATTGCCAACTTTATCAAAAAAATCCTGCGTATGTTACAATATTTCGCTCCCGTTTTTGGCGTTACATTTCTTCAATCGTTCCTTTGTCTACTGCAAAAGTGACTCTCCTACTAAAAATCGTAGTTTGGACTTAACTCTCGACAGAAGTATACATTTTTTTCCTTCTTAAAGAGCGCGCAGACCAAATATTCGGGAAAAAATTTGGCCACCAACCTGGCGCACATCATTGAAATTTTTCGACTACGTATTGTAGTTCGAATTTTACGCAATTCCTCCGGTGACCTTTCTTATGGTGACGTCACATGTGGTGTAAAATCGTCCTCTTCCGAGGTAGACTTTAGCGGCTTAGAGAATTAAGTCCGTTGTCTAAATATTCAACAGTACAAATATTATCAGAAACGAGAATCTAACGAAATAGTGTTGTGCAATAGGTCACGTTATTTTTACATTGTTTCCCGGAATTGATCAATTTTCTTCTAATTTACTTAATCGATTTTTCGTACTTCCTAAACTGGGACAAGCTTAAAACAAAAAGGTAAAGTCAGCGTGTTTATTGGGTTCATGATTGGATGGATGCGGTATAATTTTTCATAATTGTTCAATAATTTTTATAGCAGAAATAAAATTTAAAATTGCAAGCGGTCGTAAATGTATGATTTCTTGATAAGTGAATTCCTTGCTTTGGCATGCAGTGATTAGGGCTTAAAATCTGTTAAATCCGCCCCCTCAGTATGACCCTAGTGTAAATAAGCTGCTTTCAATTAGAATTTGCTGGTTTCCGATATCGTTGCGTGATGGCTTCCTTGTGTCACCAGGTTACCCGCCTCGTGCTTTTTTAAGCACGCGGTCCGCGCGTGGCTATCCCGATACACATTTATGACAACAGGGTGTGGAGCCCGAGTTTCGAGTGAAGATGTTCGGTGGACGTTATTTATTCGTTTGACTGCGTACAGTGGGCTATCTCAGTTGTGTGTTTGTTGAAGATTTAAATAGAGTAAAAATCTTTCCAAAAGTTGTTTGTTGTTTACAATCAACAATTTTAAACAATCCTATTTTTGACTTACTTTTGAAAAATACTAGACCTGCGTGGGCAGTAACTACTTTTATAGAAAGTAAAAATATATATATCTTTTCCCTCGAGCTTAGTGGATACTCAAGAAAGGACGAGAGAACATATTTATTTTTATCTTCTGTAATGCTAACAGTTTGTAGTGTTGTGGTGTGATTGTCAGAAACTCTTGAAAACTGCCCACTGGGGACCATCTCAACCGTGTGTGATTTACGTTAGTACAAGAGAAACAGAATCTTTTTAAACTTTGTTTGTTGTTTACAATCAAATCTTCGATTCAATCCCATTTCTGACTTTTTCTCGAAAAATACTGAGCTTGCGTGGGCTGTAACTGGAACTATAGAAGTTAAAAAAAATCCTTTTCCTTCAATCTAAATAGATACTCTAGCCTTTGACAAGTTCCCACTTCATAAACTCTTTACAAGTCTCCACTAAAACTGTTCATAAAATACCAGTTGAGCTACAGATCATTCTCAGAAAAGCCCATGATAACCCTTTTTAGACTTAAGTAATTAACTGTAGACTGATCTACACCCATCAGCTGTTGCAGACTGTACAATGAAAATACCACGGTAAACTATCATACAATCGAGAAACTGTTGTTCAATTTAATCACGGTGCTTACAGTTTGTAATATTGTAGTGTGTTTGTCAGGAAATGCAGAAAACTTCATTCGGTGGACTGTATCAGTTGCGTGTTTGTTAGAGATTTGAGTTAAGAGAATTATTTTTAAAGGATTTTTATATTCAACATTTCTATACAAGCCTACTTTTGACTTATTCTCGAAAACTACTAGGCTCGTGTGGGATGTGACTGTTGCTGTAGAATTAAAGAAATGTTTTCCTTCAGGGTAAGTAGATGCTCAATAAATGAAGACATAACATATTTATTTTATGAATTACGTTGCTTGGGGTGTCTGTAGTTAAAAGTCTGCGGACAATGCGTTGTTAACACACGAAAATAGATAGTGCTAGGCCAGTCTGTGTTGATCCCTCAGGTGCAAAATGACTTCATTTGGTTTTGGTTGTCACTGAAAATCGTCACCTCTCACCTAGACATTGTACTAGAAGGAAATGTTGGCGTCACGGTCGGGCATGTCCTGCCATAACAAACTGCGTAGACATAATACCGGAAAAAAAGATCAGAAAAGTTACGATTGAGTATAAGTGGACCGTCGTATGAGCGTCATCCATGTTAAAGTTGAAAGTTCTGGGCATCACGGGGGAGTAAAATGGGCCGAGTGTGTTTTTTTTTCCCGTTATTTATAGAAGATATGCGCGGGATGAAAATTGTACTGAAAATAGAATCCCTAACGGTCAGTGTACCTCGATATAGTTGAGTAGATTGACGACAAAGACTATGTTAATGGTGTACTTGCACTTTGTACACTTCCAATCATAATCTAATCTACGCACGTATGGAAAATCAGATGCGATATGCATGAACTAATTTGCGTAGTTATTCTTCATGAAAACGTTTGCTCAGTAGCTTCGTCAAGTGTATCTTTATTGTCTTGTTAGTACAGTAAAAACCCGCAAGTAAGAACCTAAAAATTAAGAACCTGTTAGCCTAAAATTTGCCATTTATACCCCGTATAAACAAGAACCTATTTAGCCTAAGAAAATTAAAATAGGTTCTTATTTTCTAAAATCATATAGTACATTACAGGTACACTGAAATTATTTACTGTAATCATAATCGAAGAAAAACCAGATTGCCATTGCTGTAAAACATGATTTTCTTAAGAAAAATGAGTGCAAAATATGCAGTTACAAAATATAGGGCAATTACCAACTTGTTATGCAGGTGTGTTTTTCTCCAAGAATAAGAACCTGTTTTAAGAACCTAAATAGCCTAAACTTTTGTTGAGTACCATTTATATAAGAACCTGTTTAGGCTAACTCCTAAAAATTTAGGTTCTTGCGGGTTTTTACTGTTTTGTATTCGTGTGTTAGTAGCCGTTTTAACGGGTCAATACCGTCGCCTTAGATCCCGCGAGCATCTTAAGGCAAAGATTTAAGGTTTCCACATGTTTTTCTAGTATTGGTGTGTAACTTTTATATTTTTTGAATTAGCGTTTCATTCGTGTAGGCTAGGTGACGTTCACAGCTTATGAATGGGAAAGTTAACCACATAAGTTGAACTACTTTGTTATTTTCCGTATCTAATAATGACATCTAGACGTAGTTGCGAATCTATGACGTAACACATGAGTAATACCGACCGACTTGTTTGGTTTTTACGGATGGGTGAGTCGTAACAAGTAATCGTGTGTTTTCGGAAGGACGAAGGGAAGCCGAAAAACTGGCGAAAAAATTCAGTCATCGCTCGTAGTGTTGTTATGGTTATGAGTTGTTTGGCTTGTGTCGCCGGATCCTTGAAGAAGAAAAAAAATTGAAAACTGCATGAGATGGAGATGATTTGTTCCTTTTTCTACTATTTGTTCTCGGTCTGGTTGTTATGATTCGTACTTGTGAATACTGGCGATGAAATTGAACATGAGTTTCATAATTGACGGCACGAGATTTGGCTGGTTACTGTCACATTTTCACTCTTTATTCTGAGCATAGCTGATGTAAAATTCAGCTTTTCTATACCAACAGCTATGACAAAATTCTTATGAAAGGGCTCTCGTGTGCTTTTCAGAGGAAGATCTCTAGCTCAGTCGAAATTTGACAGACTGCTTTCGAACTGAATGACAAAAAGACTTGCAAACAGTTGAGAGTGGGAACTTGTCATAGATAAAAAGGCTGGAACTAGATGCCCTTTAAAGAACAGTTCGCGATTTAAAAAAATAAAGAACTGGCGTTTCTGGTTATGTT